TCAAACTCGCACAAAATCATCTAACAATGAGCGAGAAAATATGCTAAAACGACCTTTATGAACAAGGCCTAATTTTTCTAAACTGGGGTTACTCTGAACATGTGTAAAATTATATAGAGCATGGGTTGTAAAACCTACCATGATAGCTGCGAAGTTGTCTACGAGAACGTGGACAATAAAACCTAATAATATATCTGTGGTCCTGTCTATATAATTGGCAAGTTACAGAACTGTCACGAAACAATGTGGAATGTTAATCTAATCATACAATTGTGGTAATGTCTATAACGCTATAATACAGATACTACTGCTATTGGACTGTCTAGAATGGTATGAAAAACAACAACAAAAACAATCTAATCTAACAGTTGTATGACTGTCCACAAGAATATAAAGGTTAAAACCCAAGAAGTTTCCAGACTGTCTACAAGGGTATAAAGAGCAAAACAGAAGATAATTTTGTGAACTGTTATGGCGTGAGCGCCTTTTCCAAGATAACCAAGCATGATTATAATTAATTACACTTGTCATAAGACATTAGTAGTAGCCCTATTATTTTTTAACACTGCCTTCTCTATCTAGTCCCTTATGGAATTTCAAGAAATAGAAGAATGTATATATAATAATAATAGTATTCCAACCACAGTATGTTCGCCATATCAATGACGTCTTATGACAAGTATAATTAACTACAATCATGCCTGGTCAACTTGGAAAAGGTGTTCTCACCATAACAACTGTTCTGGTAACAAAGGGCTTATATAAATAATGTTCCGACCACTATTGTGTTTGTTGTGTCCCGGCTGGCCTGATGAGCTATAGATTGAGAGAAACGCATCGTTGATAATTGATATGACGAACATACTATGATTCGAATACTATTATTAGTATACATTTTTCTAATTCTCGAAAATCCCTGCGGGACTAGATCAAAAATGTAATGTTAAAAATACAGGGTAGCTCAAAATAGTCTTTCATATTTTAAAATGTATTAGTTAAATAACTAAAGAAAGACAACTAATCAGTTTTCAACATCCTGTAGCTCAATTCAAACATATTTTATTGACATGTCAGTAGACTTCTACATGTGCACCATTAGTGGCTCTCCGAACGTCTAACCGATATTCAATTTCAGTCCACGTTCGCTGCAACATGTCTACAGTTACAGTGGGGATGGCATCCGTTATCCTGATCTTTAGCTCCGTCATATTTGCTAAAGTTAACATACCCCCAAAAGAAAGGAGTACAATAGAGCGATGTCTGGCAAACACGGAAGCCACCATATTGGCCCACCCTGCAAGCCAAATGACACATTGAGCCTTTTCTTGCATGGTTGCCATTTTATGGAGTAACACTATTCACTGGGTGAAAAAAATAACAACAACCAAAAACAGGACAATAAAAAAATTGAGTGGGGCTACAAGATACTGAAAATAACATGTTTGTATTTCTTTAGTTATTTAAATATTAAGTTTTAAAACAGGAAAGATAATTTTGGACAACCCTGCATAATTTGTCTAATACTATTGCCTTATGACAAGTATTATCGTTTACAAAATATATGCTTTAAACCTAACAATAAAGTTTCAAAACTGTGTAATTGGATGTAAATAAATTTAACTAGATGGTTGGGAGGATGTCTACAAGAACATTTAAAATCAAATATGCTTGTTTCAAGGATATATATCTACAAGGATATAGATTTAAAATGAAAGAAGGTAGTTCCAAGGATAAATATCTACACGGAAATAAACTTTGAAACCATATTAGTCAGTTGTATGGGCATATATCTAGAAGGATATGGACTTTAAGACCAAAGAAGGCAGTTGCAAGGACGTCTACCCATACATAGACTAAAAACAAAGAATGGTGTTTCAAGAGTGTCTACACAATAATTATAATAGCCTGTAAAACCAAAGAAGATAGTTGCAGTTATGTCTACAAAAACATACACTTTAAAACCAAAAACGTTATTTTCAAGAATGACTACACAGACATAAACTAAAACTGTAATATTCATAGTACTACATGCTTTCTACCACTTGTTTAATATTTAGAAAAAAAATCAATTTTCATACTTAGAATTGTATGTGGTTTTAATACAAAAAGTTGGCCAAGAAAGTAGCTAAGTCCTTTTCAGCCTAGCTACCTATTAAACTGGGTCATTCACCTAGGGTACCACGTGCGCCTTCTCGTGGGAAAGGTGTGTAAAGAATATACTATGTGAAATTAAACAGTGATCTTTTCCACAGGCAGGTTAGGTGATATCTTGAGTTTTACAGTTATAACCCTCCATATTTTTAAATGGGAATAACCAAGATTGTGAAGTAGGTAGCGCAAGCACCTTGGAGGAGAACATCATTATTGTTATGTGAATAAAATGCTATACATTCTTGGTCTAGAACAGATTTTCTCCAGAGATGAACATAGAAATGTATTTCTTCACTGGGAACTCTCAAACCTCTAGTAAAAGAGCCCTAAATATACTCGTTTTTCTGTTGATTGTTCAAAATATAAATAAGCATTGTTTTACTTAATTTGTGTGTGTGTGTCCAGCCTCTGTCATTTTTCACAACTCAGTCAAAGTAAGAAGAATACAGTTTAACTCTGAATAACAGTTTCTGACACGGAAGTGCATTCGCACCCTATCAACGCCTGTGTTTGTTTGTTTGAAGTTAAGCACAAAGCTACACAATGGGCTATCTGTGCGCTGCCCACCACGGGTATCGAAACCCGGATTCTAGCGTTGTAAGTCCGCAGACATATCGCTGTGCCACTGGGGGGCAGAACAAATAGTAACATGAAAGTTGCGAAACTGAATAAAGAAGTCAATATAACCATTTGTGGCAATATCTACCAGATAAACAGATACCAGTCTTACTATTTTTAAGACTGTCTACAAGGATACGAAAAAGTCAATCTAACAAGACTGTCTAAGAGAGAATATAAAGAAGCCATGGATCTTTTCTGTTTCATTAATGCTGATTTCAGAAATATAGATTAAAATTTTGAGAAATAAAAAGAAATATTTTTTTATTTTGCTAGGTTAGGTCAGTTTATGAGAGGTTAGATCAAGTTAGACTAATTAGTAAATAATTACATGTTTATTTAAATAAAAAGTGAATTTCATTTTAAAAATCTTTAAAAAATTAAAATATTTTCCCATTTCTTCCTCTTTAAAAATCAATTATCAAAATTTTAATTTATATTTCTGAAATCTGCAGCAAATTGGAAATACTTAGACTGTGGTTAAGCGAAACATGATTGACTTGTATCTCTGCGAGTTTGTTTGGTGTCGTAGGCATGAAAGTTATAATCTCTTCAAGCAAATATTTAAGAATATTTCTGAATTTTCACATAGAATTTGTTACGTTGTCACTAGACACTTTGTATTGCCTTGATATTTTGCAATTTATTTAAAATACATAGGTATAAATGTAATGCTAAATATACTTCCTTTGTTCATAAGCAAAATAAAAAATATTTCTTTTCATTTCTCCAAATTTTAATTTATATTTTTGAAATGAGCGTCAAAACTACATTTATAAAGTATATATTATTTTCTATTTGAACGGGGTGCATCAAACAGAAAAGATCCGAAGACATTTTAACAAGACTATGACGAAACTGTCTACAGAGGTTTACAGAAGTAATTATTGCAAAACTGTCTGCAAGGACTTACAGAAATCAATGTAACAAGATTGTTGTAGGGCTGTCTATATGAATACAGAAAAGTCCAGTCTAAAAAAATATTACGAGAATATATATATATAGAATTGAGAGAAATTAATCTACATAAAAAAATGCAATTGGCTGTCTACAATGATATACAAAAATCCATCTAATGAAACTGTTGCGAGATTGTCTACAAGATTTGTAAAATTCAGTTTCACAAAACTATTAAGGCTGTCTACAAGGATTATACATCAGTCGATCTAACCAGATAACTGTAATACTTGGAAGGGTCTTCTTACATTACAACCATGACTTCCAAATATCATGAAGATTTCAGTGGGGTATCACCTACAGACCTGCCTTGTTTGCTCTAATTCAAAGCGTCTTATAAGGACCATGATTTACAAGTCTTTATAAAAATTTCAATAAAATGCCAACTTTAGACGTATTTTTCTTGTAACACCTCAAAGTGTCTTACAAAAACAACAATTCAATATATGTAGCGAATTCAACGTCATATGTACCATCCATTTTATTTGGGATACTTCGAAGTGTTCTATATCAGGACAACGACTTAGGAATAAGATTTCAGTAAAATGCCACCTATAGACATGGTCAATCTGAAATATTTTGAAGTGATTTATTAGGAATACAACTAACAACTTCCCATCTAGTTTACAGTAACTACTTCAACTGCATGTATTTCGAAGTGTTTTATGTAATAACGACTTACAAATACAATACTAAAGTGTCAACCTACACACACTTCTTTTATTTGGATTCATTTGAAGTGTCCTTTCACAACAACATCTAACACATATTAATCAAGATGTGAGTAAAGTATCCCCTATAGATCTGCTTCATTTAAGATACTTTAGTAAGTGTCTCAGGACAACGACATACAAATACCAATGAAAATGCCAATAAAGTGACAGACTTACTTTCCCTTCAGCCCTACGAAGTATTTTCATAACCACGATTTAAAAATATTCATTCAGATTTCATTGAAATCTTACATGAAGTCGTGCTTAGACTTTCCCCACAACTTATTGAAACTGTATTTGATATATTTAGAATAGGGAAGATAAATAGCTCATTGATAAAAAATATTTTTGTAAAAATTTCCCTAAGTTTTATTTGCATAGGAACAACATACTCATCACGAGTATATGTATGATGCGGTCAGTACGTAGGGTTATCTGCTTACCTTACAACACTTCGAAGCGTCTTGCCATCACTCCGACATCTCCTCTTATTTCATAGGAACAACATACTCATCACGAGTATATGTATGATGCGGTCAGTACGTAGGGTTATCTGCTTACCTTACAACACTTCGAAGCGTCTTGCCATCACTCCGACATCTCCTCTTATTTCTCAGATTTCGGGATTGCTGTGGCAGAAAAGCTTGAATATTTTCTTTCCATAATTTCTCTACGATGAGGTGACGCGGAGATCTCTGACGGCGGCCTCTAGATGTGAAAGGAATGCCAGTTCTGATGACAAGACGACGAGTCGCCTCTATCCACATGGCATAATGTAAACTGCCTCGATCCATACGTCTCAAATTCAAGGGAGCAGAGCTAGATCCGAACTGTTGAACCTGATGCGAATCCAGTGTAATTTATACACGTCCTAGAGGGGAATGGGAACAGTTCAGTCTCGGTCCACTCTGACAGCAGTACGAGTGCTACCGCAGAACAAACTATCAGCACCCGGAGCCGAGTCCGATCCTGGTAATACAGTTTCACGTATAAACAGCCAGCACTTGTGTTGTATAGATAAAAATATGTTATACTTTACGATGGTAAGAGTACCTGGAAGACTTTTTTTTTATAGAAGAACAACTACTTATAGTGTATGAGAAAAGGTACTAAATATAATAATAAAAAACAACTACATATTCAACTGTAATATGAAAAGTTCCATGACGATAATGCTCAGCCAGGTTTACTAAACAATATAAACGACTTTTCTGAACAAACATCGCCTAGCTGAAGGAAGAATTAAATGTGACATTCATTGGAAGACGGTGAAGCTCGAGGTCTTGCACTGAAGGCACAGACTGGACACTTGACCACAGAAACGCATATAAGGCCGTCAAATGGAAGACTTGGGTATGTGGTAGACTTTAATTGTTAACGCCCGCCTCTACGACATTTTAATGTTCCTTATAGTTACATGTAAACTTTCCACAATTTGTTGTGAAAATTCGGCACAGAAGTGTATCACCAAGGGAGGAAGTATTCTTGTTCGCTAAGATAACTTCGGATTTAGAATTTCATGGTACACTTCAATTAAAACATGTGCCACGTAGTGGTTGTCAGTTTGTAGCGGCTACTTGTTTCAGTACAGGGTTTTAGATGTTACATTCTGTTACAAAACTACACAATTTCCTATACTGAGAATATATCGGGCTTCATTCAGAAACTTACCATATATCACTATAGATAAGTTGTCTTTTCTCAGATTGTAGGTCAACATTGAACAATAAAAATTTCAAACTGTCGGTTACAGACAATTATCCCAAAGAATACATGCATGGACAATTTGAAAAAGGAAACATATTTACCATGAGTTGGCAAAAGCCTTCTTTTGTGAGAAAATACGCGATCCGTGAAAAACTGACAGACAGATAAGGATAATATCCACGTGAAACACAGCAGTTAATCCACCTTTTCATATCTGGGGATCTAAGCATATTCTAGACTGCTTTGTTACAAGTTTGTGGTCTGAGGAGGCTGTCTGTACACGATACTACTTGACAGAAACCTTACAAGGGAAGCTAAGAGGCTGAGATCGGCTATATATACTCCCTTATGACAAACTTACTTGCAAGTTAGGGAGACTAGAAGATTTTTTGACGCACCTGGAGACATATACTTTATCCATACAAGTTTAATGGAAGCCCGTCAAAAAGAAAAGATATCATGGACAAGTGAATCTTCCACTTTACGGCTAAAATAAAAGTTAATCTCTGCAGAGGATTGCGATGAAGCATTCTAGACGGTTAAGATCTAAGCAATCCTAAATCCTACATTTCACTTGAGTTGAAGCTTCATGTCTATATTCTTTCAAAATCTCTAGTCTGCTGTCACAAGTAGACTTGAAAAAAAATTAAGTTACAGGCCATATTGTCCAGTGATACCAGGTACTGTCATTCAGAGTCTTCAAGTTCTCTGATGGCGGTTGTTGATGCAACTGACACTTTCTGCAATTCTGCAGCAAATCGCCACACCCTCGGCAACATTGATTGGCTCAATGCGTCAGCTACTGGTAGTTGGACCAACCATGAAGAAGCTGTGAATACAGAACAAATCTCTAAGTATAAAATACCAATATTTTAGAGTGTAAAATTTTCTAAGTCTGGTTAAAAATAAGTGAAAATAGATCCAAGAAAAATATGCTTAAGCGGTATTTAAAAAAACGAATTTACACTAGCACTGTAACTTACTTCAGTAGTAGCCACAACACGTAAGAAATGTTGTCACGTGACTATGTTAAGCACTCACTTCTGTTGTTGTTGTTTATTATTAAGCACAAAGCTACACAAAGGGCTATCTGTGCTCTGCCCACCACGGGTATCGAAACCCGGTTTTTAGAAGTGTAAGTCCGCAGACATGCCACTGTGCCAGTGGGGGGGGGCACTCACTTCTGTGTTAGCTACAAGAAAGAAATGTTGCCACGTGACTGTGTTAGGCAAATATGATTAACAGCGTACAACTTTTAAACTATAAATTCTATCTTATTTTACTGACGCCAACGATTCTTGATTACGACCTTTTCATACAGAAGTCCATGACCGTACAATGTTTCTGAATAAAATTTAATCCACTACTATAATGTTTAAATATAATTGAAAAACCAAGAATTTATTACTACAACTATGTATAAGTAATTCACGCATCTCAAGCTTTGGATCTACAATATATATATATATTTCTAAATGGATGATCCACACAAGTCGTTTGACTAGACCATTGCAACGAAGTAACGTGAGTAAAATTTATGTTTTCATTCGCATTTTCAAATTGGATAAAAACAGTACAGGAGTTAAGGGGCCCCATTACAAGTCTCTGCACTATTAAAGCCACAGAAAACCCAGTGCATGGCCTGGTTAAAGCATCTAGCTCAAAAACAAGAGGGAATCCTCAACAGCCGCGGCACTTGAAATACTTTTAGGCAAGATTAGAGTAAATTAATCTCTGAGACCTTTGTTTCCCTTTTTATTAGCTATACTTTGTGTGGGTGCGAGCGAGTACCCAATTCGATTTTATTACTCATCAGGACCTCTACGAGCCTACCCTCTTTTAGGTAGGATTAGAATATATTAATCTATGAAACCTTGGGCGTAATCAAATACATCAAACGAAAAGGTTTGATCTTCTGAGTCCAAAACTAATTATAACTCAAATCGGTCAAGTGATGATGGGGTTATGAGCTAAAAGTTTGTACTTGAAAAAACAAAACAAAACCAAAACAAACAAACTCAGAGCCGTTCTATGAGCCACGGCTAGATTATTCTTCCTTATATCATAATTTACGCAAAAGCAGATTAAATGTAAGGAATTTCTGTCCGTGGATAAATAATGAAGTGCAGAGAGATTTTAATATTTTCGGTAATTTCGTGTCTGTTATTCGAATGTTTCAACTTGAATAGCACCTTATGCGAACGGAGGCTACATGGCCGGATCAGGGATCCCAATAAGATACAGATAATTATTTGCACTATTTGAATAATTTTGAACTACTGCGCATAGGGAAAACAGCCAGCAGCATCCGCAGCCCTAAATTTTTATCCGGTTATCTGAGCCAAATAATGGGATTGACTGTAACTTTTGTGACGCGCCCACAATTGAATGTGCGTAACCACGTCACGTGTCGAACTTAAACCGCTTGATCCACAGTCCTACAACCTAACCACAAGACCAGAAGTTCCCAAACTTTGTCATTCCACTAACCGGCAACATCTTTGTCAAAAGCACACAGATACATGCAGTACATGACCTATGGATGTGAATAACACAGAATGTTGATAGTTATAGTTATGAAAGAATTTAGAATTTTAATAATATGAATATTTATTGAGAAATAATTATACGTTCACAAGGCGTTTCTGTGGATATGCAGTGACCCATTGACCAGCGGTTCGGAACCACTGCACTAAGCCACAGCTGGTCCACTTCTTATTTGGACTACTTATGTAGATTTAACGACTGGATTGAGTTTTTCTCTTTGTTTAAAACATAACAGTAAAAAGTGAGATGGAAAGTATCTGACAAAATGATATCGGTGGAAAAGCTGATTCATAAATTAAGAGTTCAGTGACTATTTATTGTTGATAACCAAATATTGAGCTTAAACTCGGGGCAGACCACTATTTTCTATTTACATCTTAGTGAGCCGTTTGGTCCACCATTAGAGTTTAAAAAGTACTACTATTAACCCAGAATATTTGCGTACGGATTGATATTTTATAATAGTATGGCTTTTCTTAATGTGTTACTCTCGTAAGGTAGTCCTAATGTCCTAGGAGGCCGGGGTGTACTGAGCCCATTTTTGAAAAATGACGGATAATATTGATTGTATGTAATATAGACTGATCTAGCTCACCAGATATTTTTGCTTACAATAAGGCCTGACTTGGAGCTGAAATAGTTGTTTGAGATTTTGCAACGGATTCATAGGTCTTTTAGAGGTCTGTACTTTTAGCGGAAATACAAATTAATATTTACTTAAGTAGTTTACATTTGGGGTTTTATTTTCTTTATATGAAAGCATGACACAAATTCTATACTACCCTACCTCTTTTATTTATATTGTATTGCGTTCCAGAGAAATGTAATATACCCATAAGGGTTTTTCCATACCAATTACAAATTTTAACTTTCAGTATAATTTGATTAAATTTTTGTCTTAAAATGTTCTGTATTTTATAAAATACTGTTCAAATGTATTGAATATTAATATGTCGTGAGTGTTTACATACACTCTTGAAGGTGGTTGGTTATAACTAGAAATTTGGCCTACAATATACAGACAAAGCAGGGATTAGAAGAGGTTTTTGAAATGTGTTAGCAGTAACAGTAAATTGGTAATGACTGAGAGTGAATACAAATGCATGTTAAAGATAATATCTTAAAATATTGGGGAGTTATATAGATATATATATATAACACCCGTGGATTAATGGCCAATTATCGAACCTGTTTGTGTGACAAGGAGAAACACATCGTTGATTTAATGTTTTGCTAGTTGAAGCATATAATCTTTAAATGTAAATCAAATGCAGTAAAATAATATGATTATTATCAACGTTTGGTAGAACGTACATACCTTGCTAAGTTTTAGTGTACACGTGTTAGGTCTGATGAAACCTGGAAATGTCGTTTCTTGTTAATAATTAGTACATATAAGAACAGCCACAAAATATAATGCAAAGTTTTATACCCTTGCCTTACTGAACTCGTCGCTTCCAAAGTGATATTTTAGTCAAGACTTTAAACAACAACCATACCTTTAACATAACTTATTCAGAACTATTACTGTAAGTCACTCAACGCTGCCACAGTAATTATGCAGCATTAAATAATCCAGTAACTAATTCAATACTGTTACAGTAAACCTATTACATTAAACCTTTCAATAACTTATTCAACATTGCCACAATAAACATATGATATTAACATTTCCGTAACTAATTTAACATGTAACACTAAATATTTCAGTAACTAATTCAACACTGTCACAGTAAACATGTAACATTACATATTTCAATAACTAATTGAATATTGCCACAGTAAACATGTAACATTAGATATTTCAATAACTAATTGAATATTGCCACAGTAAACTGTTACATTAAATATTTCAGTAATTAATTCAACATTACCACAGTAAACATGTAACATAAAATAATCCAGTAATTTATTCAACATTGTCACAATAAACATGTAACATTAAATAATCCAGTAATTTATTCAACATTGTCACAATAAACATGTAACAGTAAATTTTTCAGTAATTTATTCAATATTGTCACAATAAACATGTAACACTAAATATTTAAGTAAATTATTCAACACTGCCACGGTAAACCCGTAATATCAGATCTTTCAATAACTTGTTCAACATTGCCACAGAAAACTTGTAACATGAAACCTTTCTAATTCAATGCTATCATAGTAGACCTATACCTATAATGGTAAAAACAAAATAATGGAACCATCAGAACAATAAATAAATAATATTTAAGTTTATATTTCGGTCCACACGACCCTAACTATTTTAGTCTTAAGAATCTCCTTCTTTTTCTTCTGTAGCAATGCTTTTTTTTGTTTTTGTTTTTATTATTACACTCTATTTCAAGTATTAAGTAATTGCTAGCAACAGTTAATGTAGTATTTGGAGAAAACATTCCTTTAAACTCTCCAGGTGATCAATTATCTGACACAACACATCCACATTCCCAGCATAATTATGCAGTGTTAGATTGTGTCATTTATATTAACATGGAATGTTACAACTTCAACCTTGTAACAGTATTTAGGATCTAAGATTAGTAGGCATCTTTCATAGATTTATTTTATTTATTTATAACGGAACGTTTCCTCCTACACAAGGCAATTTACCGTGTTCAATATCTGCGAAATATCATTAACTTCTGATCGAAACAATACGACTTTAAGTATAGTAACTCAAGTCAGCCCAGCAATAAATATAGTTTATGTATTATATCGTCCTCACTTGGAATTATTAAAATGGATTATTTCATCCGTTTGGCACCCTCGCAGTTAGCGATATTTTCGGACGTAATCCCAATAACACACGAGATTCGACCAGCTTAACTAGTTAGGTAAGTCCTAAAGCCATATACCAAGCTAACGATGTAAAATAATTGTCACAATAAGAATGAGAAACAGTAAATATATATTTTAATCAACACTGTTAATGAAACTAACACTGAAGACAATATACGTATACATTTTTTTGTAATTAAGCACAAAGCTACACAATGGACTATCTGTGCTCTGCCCACCACGAGTATCGAAACTCGGTTTCTAGCGTTCTAAGTCCACAGACATACCGCTGTACCACTGGGGGCTATACATATAAAAAGTAGAACTGCCCGTAACGATTCACGTTCAGTAGCAACTTTAATTTTATCACTTTAAGGCCGCGAATGAGGTCTCAACTGAGCGAGGAAGTCAGTAGGAATGTGATGTTTAATGCGGGTAATTTGTTTTGTTTTTCAAATGCGATAATACCTACGAATATAAGCATAAGATATATTTACCTTA